CGTGTGCCGGAACAGTGTGTTAGTGGGGATCACAAAGCTTTTGTAAGGTTGTCTCGTCAATTAGTAAGAGAGCTCTCTACTATTACCGAGGAATCCAAGTGAGCGTGCTTGAGGAGTCTTTAAGACTAGTTTGGACCGCATCAGAGGCATAATAAAAACTCAAGGGAGTTATAAAAAGTCTACAAAGCACAATTTCCTTGTCATTTCTTCGTATACAGTTAGAGTGCAATCCCAGAACACTGAGACAGTCCCAATAAAAGTCGTTTCCCTTCAAAGACTACTAAAGTTTCGAATTCTACACTGTGTCCGCACGTAAAACAATACCTTTTGTCCCGAAAAGGTCTACTAGACTTAGACAAGTGATATAAAAAATACAAAAATGTTTCCCCGAACTTCTACTTAAGTTCTTACAAAACAAGTGTGGTAATTCTGTTTACCGTACGAACCCGAACTCGAAGTACCGAGCACGTACCTGTGGTGATAAGTGTTTAAGGTGTTTGTGTGTGTGTGTTGTTTAGGTGTTCACGCATCTTGTCAGCGCGTCCGATTGCACTATTCTCACTCCCGCGTGCCACGGTCTTCTCACTGTATCGTAGATGGTGGTTAATATAGTAAAGTTGGAACAGAAGAAACAACGTACCAGCCATTGAATACACCAATGTTGTGGCCTCGAGTGACGACGTAGAATGGGCCCTCGGCATTTGCAGCTGGGACATGATATCTGTACGGCAAGGCAAGGAGGTGTGCGGGAGGCAAGATGGCATTGGCTGGGGCATTCACAGGGAGGACGCCATAGAGCGGAAGGGCCACGTTGACAGCTGTGGGAGCGATGACAGGAGCAGCTGCCACAGACGTGGCTCCAGCGGTGACAGCCGTTTGGGCTCCTGCAGCATTGGCGGCAGGAGCTGCAGTATTGAGCCCATCGGTTGTGAGGGGAGCGACATTGTGCAGGGAAGCGGCAACCAAAGTGGCGGAACTGGCGGCAGTGAGGTGGCCGACGCTATCGAGATCAGAGAGTGAAATCAGGGAGGTGGTACTGGTGTCCGAGAGTTGATCGTCGTCCGCGTTGTCATCAGTGGGGCCAGATGTTTCTGCGCCAGTGGCAACAGTGGGAGAAGCGGCGATGATGGAGTCAGAAGAGGTGGTTGTGGTGGTTGTGAGGGACTGGGTCGAGTCGAGGTTGGCGTAAGCCACCAGGGCACGAACGATTTCTCATGCGCCCTCTGGGGTGATAGAAAGACGAGCGAGAAGATTTTCAAGGTCTGAGAGCCTGTCACCATCAGTGGGAAGTAATTCGGAAGAGGGATGTTTGATACTTACTGTCCGCCGATGATGGGGAACCAGCGGGTGCTCCAGCATTGGGTAAATTAGCCATTGAAAATGTTCTGGCGTGAAAGGTGAGGGAAAAGCGGATGGGGGGACGAATTTGCTGTTGAACGCACCTTTATCTAGGACGAGAAGCCTTCTCACAGATGTAATAAGACGTAATAGTAGGTAAGGAGCTTGCGTAGACCCAGAGTAGTGTAAACACGTACCCATTGTTGCCCAAACGCTCTCCGCCCCAGAAACCAAGATGGACAATAATGTTGGCGATGTTGAAGTTGAAGTGTGAGTTTAAAATCTAAAATCGACTGATGTGATGTTGTGATCTGATATCAAACATTCAGGGTCGACAGAGAGCCCCTTTTGCGTGTTTTGAAGCGTAACTGGGCAAAGGGTGCTCGCCTCACTTTTCTGGAGAGCTATATCGACAACTACAAAAACGGGCTTTTGACGAAAAAGGCCCCCGCTGTCCTTGACAGTATCGTCAACGCGTGGTTCGCTCGTTTTCACTGGACGATCCCCCTCTCTGCCGAAACTGATCTTCCTGCGACGACCCTGCCTGTCGGTCCCGACGGACATGAAATCTTAACCAAAGAACATCGGAAGCTGAAGGCTGAGGTTGTTGAGCGCACGCGAACTGTACGTATTCCGGAAACAAACTAACATTCGAGTACTGACAACAAATTTAGTCACTCTATGGCTGGTTTGAGTACCGCTGTAAGAAAATTGTCAAGCTCCCGCACAGTGTAAAAGGAGGCAAGGACCCAATGTCCATCCTCATTTCGAGACTCTTGGGCCAAGATGCTACTCCCCCGAAGCGAAACGCGCCTTGGGAGGCTTGGGCCAAGGTTCACTTTCCCGAAATGAAAGCGACCTTCAATGTGGAGTTCAAGCAGAGCGGAAAACCGAGGAACTTACTCGCGTCTGCTCGTAACGAGTTCAAAATGGCGGCATTCAAACGACTCGACGAAGCCGAACGTCAGCGCTGGGAGGACATAGCACAGCAGGAACACCTTGACCACAAGAAGCGTCTCGAAGATCTTGAGGGCGAGGGCTTGATGGATCCTGAGGCGGCGCAAGAGTATGTAATTCGATTTGACGATGACTGGCTTGCGCTGACCAATACCCTTCAGAGTCCTTGATCGCCTTCCTAATCTTTTGGGGCTGCTCATTCAGGCCATCAGAGAGGCGACCGGTATGCACTTGTCGGTGCTGGTTGGGGGTCCTGAGCCAAAGAAAAAGGGCCAGCTGAACATGTTTGGGTATGCTCTGCTTCGTCATGAATATTTCCGGGGGCTAACGAGCCTTGACTAGCATTCACCATGGCACTAACCTCGCCCCATCACCGAAGTCTTGGCCCTTTGCTGAAAAGGAGCAATGGAACATCGCTAAGGAAGCGTTTTTGAGATTCCTTTCAACGTGTTACAGTAAGTCCCCGTTATTATTTGTTCTTTTAACACTACTAAAGATCTACCAGCTACAGAACAGCAACGTGCACGCGCGATCATCCCATCCACTGTGCAATCCACTGAACAACCCACTGCAGGACCGTCGTCATCATTCCCTTCGGGCACTCTGCCTCCATCTACCCAGCCGTCACCCACACCCTTGACTACTATACCCTCTGCCCCGCCTTCCAACTCCACGGACTTGAAAACACGACGCAAGCGAAAGGCTGGGAAAGGTAGAAAGAATCCCACAAAGAAGGCAAAGCGGGCGCGGATATCAAAGAAGAACGGCTCGGCGATTACATCCGATGGGAAGTCAGATCCGTCTAGTTCCGACGCTGAGGAGTCTCCCACAGACGACGAGGACGACAGCGACGACGGCGACGACATTGACGATGGTAATGATGAGAGTGGTGACATTGAGGCGGACGTTCCAGCTCTCAGGACGAGGTCAGGGAGGAGTGGTGGCAAGACTTCCATGGACCCGAGTCGCTGGAAGAAGACTCAACCATCTGCTTCTGCCATCAATGGTAACAATGTTACCATCCACATCAACACGTCAACTGTCAACAGCTTCACGAACATCAACGCTTCTCCGCCTGCAAGCACGTCGAAGGCTGAGGCCCCATGTTCGCTCGACACCGGGGATCCATATCCCCCTCCTCAGGGTGACTCTGCTCACACTCCTCGCTCTCCTCTCATATCGCAGCTTACTACCGGCTCTGTCGCTAAAATTGACCCCGACCCATCTTGGCCGGAATGGTTCCGCGACGGTTATAATTTTCTCACTGCCAAGGATCTCGGTATGCAATTTACTACAGCCGTTAACGCATACGTCCAACTCGAAAGCCACACTTCGTTCCAAGCGGGTTCACGTTCTGAGGGGTTTAAACCCACCAACAGGCCGACAGAAGTAGCGTGGTGGGTCGCTTGAGGACGAAAGGCGCAACCAATGATCGAGGATAAGCGCGTATTTGAGCAACAGTGGTGGAAGTGGTGGAACGGATTGCAGCCAATTTGGCACGACGTTGCGGGTGTTGAGGGTGCGTTAAATGCCTCCCATCGATTGTGCTCAGAGGGAGATGGCGGTTGGACGGCTGTGAATAAACACGGGAGGAATGCATTCCTCACCGTGATGGCGACGCTTGTGTGGTGGGCGGATGGGTTGAAAGATTGTGCTCAAGATCCAGGTTGGCTAGCGGCTGTCGAAGAAGTCGCATGGGTGTTGGATCAAATCAATACAAGGTTGGTCTGTCGTCGTGGACTGTATACAGCAGGAGCTGACGGACAAGGCAGCCAATCTGCACCCTCAAACTAGTCCGCCAGCCAATCCGTGCCCTCAAAGTAGTCCGCCATTCGCACATCGCGTTCACGAACCATCGCAACTCACATCGAACAACCTGGTCAGGGTCCCGCCGCTTCGATTTGTGTTAGGCAAGTAGTGTGCCGTGAGGCGTGTATACGAGTCATTTTTTGGTATCTTGGCTTTTCTCAATCCCGAAATTTCTGTCACTGCACTTTTTGCCGTCTTACTTCCCATTTCTTGTTCTAATACATTTGTCCCCTTTTCTTGAACACGCTTAATACATACAAGATATCTTTGTAATGTACATAGTATTTGTATAATAAGTTCTTGGTGTAACGAGGGCGGCGTCTAATACTCGATTGAGTGTACAAGTTGAACCATCACGTGATGTTGCGGTGAACTTCAACTTACGCGCAACGGCCGGTTTGGGTGATCTTCCGCTCTAACATGAGTGCAGGAGGAATACGGGATGGCCGTGTGGTGGTGTGTGTGAATTATGCTGGGAGGAATTGGGGGGGAGGGCCGGAATTTCTTTTTTTTTTCAAAAAAAAACAAACAAAACAAAAAAATAACAATGTGGAAACATATTGATCGAACAAAAGACGAGTGTGATGGTTTTGGGACGCCAAAATCGATTTATTGATGCGGAAACAATGGTAGATGTGAAAGGGAGACCAAAAGTAAAATGAAATAGAAACATAAGAATGAGGAAAACATATTAAATGAGTTGTGACATGTGGAAGACATACCTGGAGCTGTAATTGATGGTGTATCAAAGCAACGGAAGGTGCGCTGGCGGAGATGACACCAGATTTGATAGAAGCGGCCTGTCTGGCTAATAATAACTACACGAGAAACATATTTGATGGGAAGAACCACGCGGAAATATATATAGGAGGCGGAACCACGCGGAATTACATTTGATTGCTTTTATTGTATGGATTAAGCAATTTCTGGGCAGAAATGCCCATTTTTTTTTCTGGTTCCCCCACGGAATGGAACCCAGACTTTTGGAAATACTGGGTAAGACCAGTCTCTGAGTCACATGCAAGGTGGGATTAATCCACAGGAGTTTGGTCAATTCTTACAGCCTGGGCTGTCAAAACTATCCCAGCTACAAACTTTCTTGGGAATGGCTGTATACTTTTCAGCTTTCATTCCCTACTACGCGGATAGGTGTTACCCCCTGTTCCAGCTGTTAAGAAAAGGGGCTAAGTGGTCATGGTCGGCAGAATGTGAGACAGCTTTCACCTCAATTAAGACCGCTCTTCAGGAAGCCCCTGTGCTAGGACATCCTTTAGAAGGACTGCCGTATCGTCTATACACCGACGCGTCGGACGAAGCGTTAGGTTGCGCTCTACAGCAGGTCCAGCCGATAGCTGTCAAAGATCTCAAAAACACTCGACTATACAGCCAATTGAAGAAAGCGTTTGAAGCGGGTAAAGAGCCTCCGAAGCTAGTGGTTCAGCTGCCTTCGTCTTTAAATGACAATCTAGCAGCTGAGAAGTGGGGGGAAACGTTTGAGGAAACTGTCGTGTATATAGAACGTGTGATCGCTTACTGGTCAAGGACGTTCAAATCCGCGGAGACGCGCTACTCGACCACCAAACGTGAAGCACTAGGCGCTAAAGAAGGCCTGGTCAAATTTCAACCTTTCATTGAGGGGGAGAAAGTTACGCTAGTCACCGATCACGCCGCTCTGCAATGGGCGAAAACGTATGAAAATTCCAATCGCCGTCTCGCTGCTTGGGGCACTGTATTTTCTGCATATGCGCCAAACCTCCACATCGTCCATCGTCCAGGTCGAAAGCACTCGAACGTCGACCCACTATCCAGGCTATATCGTGCTCCTCCACCACAAGATTCACCGGCTAGGGATGACACGACGGCCTTGGAGATGAGCCCTACGCATATCGATTTCTCTGCAAATCCATCGCTCGGCTTCCGCTGCTGGAATGGGCCTATAACGCAAGTATTCACGGTTCCACGGGCACATCGCCAAACTTCCTGATGTTTGGATTCGACCCTCAGTCGCTGATCGACTTTTTGCTCCCTGAAATCGTGAACGGAAAAGAAGTAAAAAGGACAAGTTCTGAGGAATGGTTGGCTCACCTACAGATGCACAGGGAGAGTGCTAGGCGCGCTATTGCCCATGCACAGCATCATCAAGCCCGGGAATACAACAAGGGCCGCAAGGCGCTACAGTTCAAAGAAGGCGATAAAGTGCTAGTAAATCCTCATTCATTAGAGTGGATCGAATCGAAAGGAGAAGGAGCCAAACTCACAACACGGTAAAATCAATCCCAATGTCTACCGTCTTCGGATGGGCGACAATTACCCGGGCTCCCCAGTAATCAATATACAACACTTAAAAAAATATGAAACAGACACGACATATCAAGACAGAACCTCACTACCAGATTCCTTTCTACGCAAGACTGAGTCCGAGGAATTCGAAGTTGAAAAAATAGTCGGACACAGGAGAGTCGGCAAGAGAGCAACGCTCCAGTACTTGATCAGATGGGCGAACTATGGGCCACAGTTTGACACCTGGGGCACAGCCACTGATCTAAAGAACTCTCCGGTTCTACTCAAGGACTATCGGATCAAGAACAACCTCTGAAGAGTTTCGAGGTCGGACTAATTATGCATTCCCTTCGAAACCTATGCCTTCACTTTCTTCTCTTCAGATTAATTCTTTATTTTGACTCCATCTTACTTGTACAGGTGAAAGCATGCGAGACATCATACACGACTTCGGCTAATCTGATCCCATCAATCATGATCAAGCCTCGTGTGGATAGAAAACAAGGCGAAACCCACCAACCCCCTTTCCCCTTCATATCTTTCAACTCCTTCTGCCATTCGTTGGGACCGTCCACGAGTGGAAGTTTGGAGGATCGCATATCTCGCAGCGGACTGTCCTGCCCGATACTGCGTTCATGGATCATTCGATTCATCACCTCAACCCGCTCGCCACAACAACCGTCCGAATTGACCCTGACGCTATCTGGGTGGGCCTTAACTCGGACACCGCGCTCATCCCAGATGCCGCCTTGGTCTTCAGGGATTTACCAGATCCCTGTTGGAGCGTGGACGACTTCTCGGACTCTGGACGCATTCTACCCATCGATAACGCCAGAGACCCCGATTGGTATAGGGAAGACGAGCAATGGGCAGCGTGGACGCCCACCGCTTTTCTCTCGAACCAAAGGCCCTGGTACGATCAACTCGAGACGGCAGTTCCTGTGGAAGAGAGATTAGGGGGATGGTCGATGGCAGAACACCAGCGTGAGGTCTGTAACACAGATCTAATCCGAACTCAGAGCTGTGTTCGATTCATTGTAGAATTCAATGAACGCTTCCCCCGCCGAGCAAAAGTGCCCGCCTTTTACCCATCGGATCGACTCGCAAAGGTCTACCCCACCACAAAGATGGTACAAATCAATGCAGCGAAAGCGAAACGCTCCGTTCTCCACGCCCTCGCCTTTCTATCATGGTGGACGACGGTCATGGCCGATTGGGAAACGAACCTCACGGATACCGTAGTCGAGATCATTACCTCACTCCTTTCCACGACCAAAGGGAAACGCGGCGTCATCTGTGATCTTGAAAGGGATTGGTCAGTCATAAACATCCCACTGTACATTCAAAACAACATTCCATTCTTTTATTTGTGGACCTTTGAAGCCAAAGTCGACCAACGCTTCAGCCGCTTGAATCCCACCCTCAATCTCACTTACTGGGCAGTCAGGCAGGGCACAGCTCTAACGCTCGCGCCAGACATTAACGAGGAGGACATCAGTAAAATCGCCCACCAATCCACCAGGCTCGACCATTTCTTCCAAGTGATCTTTGGACATCGTTCGGCTGGCGACGACAGGATTATTCCCACTTACTCCTTATTCATTATCGACTTCGAAGGCTGGAAGCGCAGGCCCATTTGTTATGATGAAGCCGTGTTATCGACCCTTGTCAAGCTCTACCATTACGTCATTTTTGACGAAGGACGGAACGACAAATACAAGACCGTCGTCTTTTGGAGATGGAGGAAGCGCGAACCGAACGACGACTATCTCAAGCGCCAATACAAAGTCAGCCTACCTGGTGAGGACCAAGCTGGGACGATCCGAGAGTTATATAAGTTCGACTATGCTCCCAAGCCAGGCATTTCTTACAATATCGAGACAGCTCTTATTTCAGGACGGAAGAAGGCAGATCCCGCCACACCCTCACTACTGCAAAGGATGGACATCCACGTCGCCACAGTCAACAAAACCCTGCAAGAACGCCTCACGGACGACTTACAGACGACGGACATGCTGGTGGACGTAAGTAGCGACTCAACTGATGACGGTTTCACTGGATTTCCCGAGGTGCCCGACATCCTTTACCATCCGCGAGCGGTCAATAGTCCTGCAGCTTGGATTCGCCGCAACGAGGAGCTGTTAGTAAAAGCAAGGCGTCACACAGCGGAGCTTCGAGCAACCCGCGGAGAACACATGTCCGCACTTCGTCGCTCCCAATCCCCAACACGCCTTGCCGATCCCTACTTTGCGCCTCACGAGAGGCCTGAAGTGATGTTCAGACGCCTACTGAAAGACGAATCTGCGAAGATCACGTACACGGAAAGCACTTGGTGTGCCCCCCATTATGCATGGAATTCGGATTTTTTGGAGGCCGCTTTCATCTTCGTTCCAGACATCAAGAGCGAAGCACGCATGCGCTACTGGGCAAACTGTTGGGACAAGATAGGGACTGCCCAGAGACTCCTCACCACCGCAATAGAGCATGGCCTCAGATTCTACCTGGCTTTACCACCTGATCGCGTTAGGCAATTCCGCCCACTGGTCGTCGACAACCTTGACAGGAGCTCGGCGTCGTCATTGTACGCCGCTGGTTTTCAGGAACAAACACTGTCCCCTGCAGACAACGCCGCCACCTTCTGCGCCTCATATTTAGCAAAGATGAACGATGTTTTGAGACGCCCCCACGCCCGAGCATTTATAGCCGAAGGGGGACAAATCAGCTGGGTAGCTCGGCGTTGGACTGGTACGAGGCTCGTAGAGGAATTCATGTCAGGCCCCTCAATCCAGGTCACCATTCACAATCGGGGATTCTATGACTCAGCTTCAGACAACTCATCTTACGCAGCCCACGACATCGTGTCGGAGCAGGAGAAGGATCTCTTACTCGGCTATTCTCCTGGATCTAACGGCTGTCTGGGTCGTTGGCTTTTCCCCCCCATGGACATATTCAACGACAACTTCGAATTATGGACGGGAGAGTGGAATGCTGCACTCGACCACATCTATGGAAGGCTCGCAGACGACATCACTCGCGGCCGTGCAAAACTTCGAACAAGAGAAAAGTGGAAATGCTGGATGAGAAACAATGAACGGGGGCAACGACGCCCTAGCTACCTCCCTTCCTCAAGCGACTTCAACAACGTCATGGAAGGCATCACGCGCGCTGGCTTACAACCGACTTGGCACAAGAAACAACTTGACGATATTGATTTTCCAGAACGTCGGATGGAGTGATCGGAAACCGGAAAGTGGGGGGGCTTTGTAGCATACCATTTACCAGTAAGCACGCTACTCTCTATCCTTTCCGTCTCCCAAAGCACGCCTACAACATTCGCCCCTTATGCTCACTCTCTCTTATTTGTTTGTATCACGATATGCTTTACGTAAGCATTGTACATATACCTCATGTAGTACATGAGGCAGTATTATCTTTTCTACTTGTGGGTGTGGGCCAGTGCTTTGCATGGCATGTATGAGTCCTTTCTGTGGACTCTAAATTTAATATTAGGAAATTGGTCATGTAATCACTTTATGATTTTCTGTGTTTTGTTCTATATTTGCAAATAGACCCTGAGCTCTGAGCCTAGCCATTAATATCATAGCAACAATGTGTGCTATTCTTTTCTTTTTTTCTTTTTTTTTCTCTTTTTATAGCAAATTTTCCCAATTTTATAACTATTTTTCTGTTTATGGTAAAATATTCCCACAGTCCTGTTTGCATATATCTCAGGAAAGAGGATGGTTAGTTATATTTTGTGACCTATAATAGCATGCTCTATATATTTGTGATGAATTTCCTTTTTTGGGTTAAAATTCCCACGGTATCAGAAGCACAGCCTCTCACTTAGCTCCATAAACAACAATTGTAGCCCCTTTCCTTACCTTTATAGATATATATAAATAATGTCATGCAGACCATTCCTCATTGAGAAAAACACAAAATACTAAAAAAATTGGACACTTTTTGGAAATTGTCATGCATTTTTGACCAATATCTCAAAGAGCAAGAAAGCTGGTCTCAAGATATAGTCACATTGCATGATATGACAATATTTTTACATGGTTGTCTTGATTTCCATATTTGGATATGGACCCTGAATACTGGACACAGCCCCTTCAACACCATGGCAACAGAGAAGATCACTCTTAATTTTGGGGTATTTTTTTCTGATTTTCTGGCAACTTTTAGGTGGTTTCTATATTTAGATATTGACCCTGAACCCTGAACAAAGCCTCCCCACCTTACTAAGCAATATTCTGATTTTTACATATTTTTTGCTGATTTCTTTTACCATTTTTCCTGATTTTATGGCTGCTTTTCTGTTTAAGGGAAAAGGTTCCCGCGGTGATGAAAGGTAAATGAATGAATCAATCAATGAAAAATTTGCCTAAGTCCTCAGTTGATAAAGAATGAGTCTTACTCGTAAACTCGTAAGGACTCATAACTTTAAATTAGAACTTTGTCTTGATAAATTTAACATTAAAATAGAATTCTAGATTTATATCTTTATAATATTGAATGCAAGCCACATTAATTTGGAGCAAATGATTATAAAGAATTGTAAATAAATTTCAAATGATTTTACAATTTTTTAGACATTGTTACTGTAACATTATTTTACACTAATTTGGTTTAAGCTACTGTGGCTTGCATCTATTGTTAATGAAAATGTTAAAATATGCCTTTTTGAAGAAAAACTTATTCTACATATTTTCAGCATTGGAGGTCCATGGGAAGGACTCATACATGCCATGCAAAGCACTGGCCCACACCCACAAGTAGCTAGTCACATTTTGTGACCACATTGAGAAATATAACAGCATGCTCTATAAAACTGTCCCTAATTTCCTTTTCAGGTCAATTTTCCCACGGTACCAGAAACACTGCCTCTCACTTAGCTTTATTAACAAGAATTGTAGCCCCTTTGCTTAGCTTTACAAATATAAATAAATAATGTCACACAGATCATTCCTTATTGAGAAAAACACAAAATACTGAAAAAATTGGACACTTTTTGAAAATAGTCATGTATTTTGACCAATATCTGCATAAGAAAGAAGGCTAGTCAGATGATATAATCACATTTCTGATATTTAATGTTGCTATACTATTGGAGAGGCTGTATTCAGGGTCCAGGATACACTTCCAAATATGGGAATCTGCCCAAATATAGCTAAATTATTGTGTACAAGTTTCTTCACTTTCCAGCTGTTTTCTCTGAGTTGTTTTTTTTTCTGTCTATATTTAGATATGGACCCTGAACACAGCCCCTTCAATATCATGACAACAGCAAATATCATTCCGATTTTTCTTCCCTTTTTTGGCATATTTTGTAATCATGTTATACAATCTATCTGGCTTTGTTCTATTTTTAGAGATGGACCCTGAACCCTGAACACAGCCCATTCATGATCATGGCAATGGTGAATACCATGCTTATTTTTCACTTATTTTGCACTGCTTCTCAACCTATCTGTTTCCATTTTTCAGACAGCTTTCTATATTTGGATATGGACCCTGAACCCTGAACACAGCCTCTCCAACTTACTAAGCAATATTCTGATTTTCTACACATTTTTGGCCAATTTATTTGCCATTTTTCCTGATTTTATGGCTGCTTCTCTCCTTAAGAGAAAAGGTTCCCGCGGTGATGAAAGGTAAATCAATGAATCAATGAAAAATTTGTCTAAGTCCTCAGTTGATAAAGAATGAGTCTTACTCGTAAACTCGTAAGGACTCATAACCACACACATCCCTTGTATCGCTTGGATACTAGAGCCCTACCAATGGCTCTGACTCAAGCTCTGGAAGAGATTAGTGAACAAGAAGCGGAACAGAACATACCGTTGTCATCTCCACAGGGACTGTCCGTGGAGATCAGAGTACGGGTACGTTGAACGGTCACGTTCCACGACTCCCAACGCTATTGAGACCAACTACGTGAGTCCTCACACCTTTGATTGCCTCGTCCGCTAGGTGCTCCAACGACTGTCCCACAACCTAAGTAACCATTGCATTAAGTTGCGGTTCACAGATACCATCAATTTAGATCTCAGTTATCGGATCTTATTCTTTTGACACATCACAGATTCCTATGACGCACGAAACTTTCCCCCATCAAATGATCGGGAAATGTTCGTGCGTCATCATTTTTCTAACCTGCTCATGTGGCTGTGTGTAATTCAGTTTATTGGTGGAATGGTACATTGCTGTCTTGGCTAGTCCAAACACAATGAAAGTTCTCTGTCAATACCCCTTCGATTTTCATGATCTTAAACTCGTTCAGATATTCCCACACTCTGTGAAGATGCTCCCCAAAACCGTTTACGAAACGGTTGAGGTCTCGTGGAGCTAGGTCAGTTTCCATTTTCGCTCTTTTGCCCTTATGCTCACAACTCCCCAGGACCTCAATCTGCTTCGTTTTCTGTGGTCAAGGGCTCGTTCGGATACCCCCACGCTCCGTGAGGACGCTCCCCAAAACCATTTACGAATCGGTCAAGGTCTCGTGGAGCTAGGTCAGTTTGCATTTTCGTTCTTTTGCCCTTATGCTCACAACTGCCCAGGATCTCAATCTGCTTCGTTTTCTGTGGTCGAGGGCTCGTTCGGATAGCCCCACGCTCCGTGAAGATGCTCCCCAAAACCGTTTACGAAACGGTTGAGATCTCGTGGAGCTAGGTCAGTTTCCATTTTCGCTCTTTTGCCCGGATGCTCACAACTGCCCAGGATCTCAATCTGCTTCGTTTTCTGTGGTCGAGGGCTCGTTCGGATAGCCCCACGCTCCGTGAAGATGCTCCCCAAAACCGTTTACGAAACGGTTGAGATCTCGTGGAGCTAGGTCAGTTTCCATTTTCGCTCTTTTGCCCGGATGCTCACAACTGCCCAGGATCTCAATCTGCTTCGTTTTCTGTGGTCGAGGGCTCGTTCGGATAGCCCCACGCTCCGTGAAGACGCTCCCCAAAACCGTTTACGAAACGGTTGAGGTCTCGTGGAACTAGGTCAGTTTGCATTTTCGCTCTTTTGCCCTTACACTCACAACTCCCCAGGACCTCAATCTGCTTCGTTTTCTGTGGTCGAGGGTTCGTTCGGATACCCCCACGCTCCATGAAGACGCTCCCCAAAACCGTTTACGAAACGGACAAGGTCTCATGGAGCTAGGTGAGTTTGCATTTTCGTTCTTTTGCCCTTATGCTCACAACTCCCCAGGACCTCAATCTGCTTCGTTTTCTGTGGTCGAGGGCTCGTTCGGATACCCCCACACCCCCTGAAGAGACTCCCCAAAACTGCCTATGAACTAGTTGAGCACTCTTGGATGTATGTTACGTTCTATTTTTGTCTTTTTGCGCTCATACCCACCAACTGCCCAGGACCTTCTCATGGCTCATTTTGCATAGCCTTGGGCTCATTAGGATACCCACACACTCCGTAAAAATATGCCACAAAAGTTGTCATGACCTTAATTGTTATATCTTTAATATAACGAAGTATAGTTACATAAATGTGAAAATGGAGGCAATATATTCATATATTAGAGTCTGACAGCCAAGTAGAGCAATACATTAGCTACCAGCTACATCAATGACAACATGGATAGGACTAAAAGCAGGTGATAAGTAAGAAATAGTAGAGCAGACTGGCAAAGTCGTCAATGTTGAGCAGGTAGCTGATCGTGGGAAGAAATCACTTTCGTGGGAGAAAGTCAAATTTCAGCGTTACCGCGCTGAAAAAAGTCCTGAGATCCTGGGTAATAAACGAGTCTCTTCGTAAACTCAGAGGACTCGTAATAGAGCATGCTATTATAGGTCACAAAATATAACTAACCATCCTCTTTCCTGAGATATATGCAAACAGGACTGTGGGAATATTTTACCATAAACAGAAAAATAGTTATAAAATTGGGAAAATTTGCTATAAAAAGAAAAAAAAAAGAAAAAAAGAAAAGAATAGCACACATTGTTGCTATGATATTGATGGCTAGGCTCAGAGCTCAGGGTCTATTTGCAAATATAGAACAAAACTCAGAAAATCATAAAGTGATTACATGACCAATTTCCTAATATTAAATTTAGAGTCCACAGAAAGGACTCATACATGCCATGCAAAGCACTGGCCCACACCCACAAGTCTTCATAAATTTATTGACAAGCGCTGCTTTGAAGATACCGCATTTACGGAGCTTTGGGTAACTGGAAAGAGCTCTTAGGATTCATGGTTACAAGATGGCATGATTACGCACGATGGAACGGGATCTCGTACTAGGTCTTCGAGAAGCACCTCAGATTTTCTGGTATGGTGGATCAGCATTTTTGTTCAAACAAAAGGAATATAATAAGACTTGCTTGATATGCTTCTTTTTTCCTTCAGAAGGGAGATCATCGTCATCACCGTCAGACCCCTCCTTGCCACTTTCTTCGTACTTCTCAATCTCCGCTTCATCATCTGCAATTTCCTTTCCAAGTTTACTCATTGCCTTCTTGTTGTCGACTAGCATCTTCTTTGCTTTTGCACTACGAATGCTTCAATGAAAGCTGCAATGCCATTGACTGGTCACTCACATCGACTTGTCAAATTCTTTCCCATAGGGTATGCTCCTGCACAGGAATTCCGAAGGATAGCTCAGCAATGCAATAATAAATAACTTAATAAAAGGTACTTACTTTTTGGACAAGGGAGAAGAATCAAGTTCAACGTCCATTCTGGACAGAAAGTTTAGCGCATTTGTCAAAATTTACCCTCAATGAAAGACACACTCATCTGAGGTCCCACGAGAAGAGCTGAAGAAAAATAAGCAAAAGATGGAGTTAACTTCATGCAATTGTGGACCAACCTGTCAGATATGTCCGTCTTCTTGGATGAGACCTTGCTAGAAGACTTGGAGTGTTTTCCTTTGGGAGTTTTGCGCATTTTTTTTAGCAGGAGACTTGACTACAAATGGATCCTCATCGGAATCCTGAGCCGATCTACGGGTCCTTTTTTTACCAATACTCAGCAAAAATGTCGACGGTGGGCACAAGTGGGGCCCAAAGATCGCGTAAATTGACACTAGCTGCACAAAGGCTCACAGCGGCGATTTTGTGAGACGCTTCTTTTTGTGAGAGGCTCTTGCGTTGGGCGCACGTTCCATTGTGCCATCATCGGTCCTGATCGACCACATCGACCGACTACAAACGGGTCGACCAACCCCAGCACATAAAGTCGACTGGCAGGCAGGCAAGGCGGCGTAATTTTGGTGGCGATTTTGCAAGTGGGTCCTGGCATTGGCGTTGGGCGTACGTTCGGTCGCGCCATGAGTCCTGATGGACCGCTTCAACCGACTACGGTCTGGTTGAACGGCGCGGGAAACGACCAACTATAGTCTGGTCGACCCACCCCAGCGACATAGAGTCTGCTGGCACGCGGGCATGGTGGCGCTGAAGCGCTTCATAGAGCGCTTCTTTTGAGGTTATGTTGGTTTGCGTTGACTATGTTTGTTCTCAGGTCTCAAACCAAACAACGCGGTCTTCAAACGCCTAAGTCAACAAGCTTCGACATCCATCACTACTACTCGAGGTAAGCACGGCCTGAATCTTGCCTCTTGCCCCCGCCACTCGCAACCTGACTTTGTGTCGGTTGCAGCAACCTGACGTTACGTCGGTTGCTAGAACCTGACTTGATGTCGGTTCTCCCTTGGCATGAGCACACTTCGCTCACTTGCTCACCGATTCCTGCACTCAGACAATCGACACTACCATCCGGTACCCTCAGAAGATCAATATCTCAATTCAATCTTCGGTAAGTTGTGTTTTGTTCCTTTGGCCATGCAGCATTTGTCGCGCCCAAGTCGTGTTTCATTGGTCACCCTTCTCGGCTCCCAAGTCGTGTTTCGTTTGTTTCGCCATGCACCCTTCCTCGCACCCGCGACCTGACTATACGTCGGTTGCAGCAACCAGACTGTATGTCGGTTGCCAGACAGAATTACCTCTCGTGGCAAATACTCGATCCCGGGAATACGCACGGAGTGGTGAATCTGTGATCATTCGTTTCTGTGATCATTCATTTGACCCCACCATATCCTGGCTCATACTCGATCCGCACAGATATCGACTAACTTTTTTCTTACTTTTTACAGGTCCCTTTCATCTATGTCGGGTCAAGCGCATTCATGTATAGTGGTTCGCTTGTTTCCCCCATTCAGAATGCTGATCATTTACGCAGACGGCAGCCCAGATTGCTATGGCCGCGAGCACTATGACGACGGAGACACCAAGTGGCCTTTGAACCAACGGGATTGTGGTAAGTGATAATTGCGTCGCTGCATGACTCTAATAACTGTTTGTTTGGTAGAGGATATCACACCATACGACGCCCTTGTCCTGGGCGAGCTCAACGAATCCTTCGCCCCTTCAACGAGAGAGATGTCCGCCTTTTCTCTTCCGGGAGGTCAATTGGTTCCCAGACGAGGCGTTGTGACTTCACCAAACGTTTCTTGGTTGCCCTACATTACAGTAGCTCCTTTGCCCGTCTGAGCCCGTGCCAATGGTCGTTTCGCACATGCCAATTTCACCATCTGCCCCCAATGGAGGTTCAGCAAAACTGCCCACCTCACATTTGTGCTGCGCCGACCACACGAGCAGGACATCAACAACCACCCCCTCTATTGGCTTTGGTGGGACATCAAACCAAGGCATTTCAAGGCTGTGGAGGGCTCGGCCTTCAAAGACTTGGGAACCCTTGACGAGAAGATTGCAAACGTCATGAGGTCTGAGGCCAAAAAGCTCCATTCCCAAGTGGCCGAGATTGCACGCACCAAAGACGCCAAGATTTGTGGTGGTCTCTTCTTCGTGGCCAACTGGATGTGCGACGCTTCGGGCCGCCTCTCACTCACATCATTTTACTATCGCGATTTGGTCTGGCACGTCGCCAGCTTCCAACGGCTCTACTTGGAAACTCTTGCAATGGTGGACTGGTTCAAAACCTGGGAGGCTCGCCTCCTTGAACCTAACCGCCAGGTTTATCCTGTTGACGAGAGTGTGATGGGTGCCATCACTGACAGCCTCGAGACAGCAGAGACTCTGTTCCGCATTGGGGCGCCCGTTTGGTTGGTTCGTACCCCAGCCGAAATCCCTCCACAAATCAACATCTTGAATGTACGCCCACCGACGCCAAAAAGCATTGCCACCCTCCGTGATCGCCGTCCTTCAGAGGTGGACCCCCGTGAACTCTGCCTTGACGACTATCCAGATCACCCTTTTCCTCATATCACGACAGCTTCCCCTCGAAGCACTCTCTATATACAGGCATGTCAAACACATTTCGAAGGGTTTCTTGGACCAGAAGACCCGAAGCCAGTTGTGAAGGGGCCGCAGAGTGGCTCGTTATCCGTAGAGCCTGATACAGGGCCCAGTCGAACAGACCGCGAAGTTGTGCGGGCGTCTCCTTGTAAGTGGTGGCTTGTCGCTGAGTTCTCGTTGGTTCTTGCTCACAATTTATTGCATTAGACTCAAACCCTGCTTCGTTGTCCACAAAGGCCCCTGCTTCGTCGTCCACAAAGGCATCAGGGAGTATGTCAGGGGGTATGTATTGATAATCTACTTGCTTTCCTTCTATTGATAAAAATATCTATAAGTCACAACAAGCGTCAATCACGAGAAGTTTAGTGAGATTGAGGAGGCCTTCATACCCCCTCAATGCTCGGTGTGGAAGAAGGCCCTGCAGAATGTGAAACCCGACCTGTCCTGCATCAAATCCTCCAAAGATTGTGTCCGTTGGCTTTTTATGAGGGGAACAAACTGCAAGGCCTTCACATTTGCTTGGTTAATCTCGCGCAGCCAATGGCTTCAGTCCTTCACATCTCTCGACTACTCTCCAGGGCCCGCGCCACATACTCAACACTGGCGCGATTTCTTCTATCACTTCTCAAAGGAGATGAATCTGGTCGATACTTTGTGGGCCGACATACCTCTAACAGCGCAACTCAGTCAGAAGGGGAAAACTCCGGCCAAGGGCGGAAGAAAGTCGGTAAAATCGAAACAGAACTATGCCATCAAGCGAGGGGAGTCGCTAAAGAATGCTCAAGCGACTTTTTTCGGACCCAGAGTCAACGTGGGTGAACGTCCCCAATTGATCTTCTGGCGTGATGTTGCTGTGATGGAAGGGAATACCGACAATCTGACGCCGGCGATCTCAGCGGAGATTCTGTGGAACCTTTTTGAGCAAAATTTTCGTTTGGAGCTTCGCATGGTGGACCAGCAAGTTTTACCGGCAGATTGGGCCTCGCAGGATTCGGCCGCAGTTCGAGATGAGTTGGTTCGGAGGATTTTCCCCGAGGATGACGATAATTATATTGTTGGGAGATTGCCGGAGACCAACGTGGGACTCGTCGCGGAGAACTGGAGGGATCGGGTAAGGTCAGTGGAGGCTTTATGGGTGCTCATCACAGGTTGGCCTGGACCAGAGGCGCGTGCACTTGCATCATTGTCAATCTTTGATGTGTCTGGGAAGTTGACAACAACGTGCGTGCACTTTGAGCGTATGGAGGAGATGGCTGTCGGACTGTATTGCCAAACCTTCTTTGATTACTTCGGTCGTGCCCCCTCCACCCCACATCGCATTCCAACTGCATAATTGCCTGTACATATCTTTTTGTTTGCATAGCTCGTTTATTTTGGTGCTCGGACTCTTTTCAATAGACATGTGAACTTTGGTCTGTTTTGGGAAAGTTGGGGGGTCACTTAAGCATGCCTGGTCTGTGATTGACATCTGCTTCCCTCCCCCCTTCTTTCTGTGTCTTCCACTCAGCCAACTCATATTGTCAATGTACAAAAGAAAGCCAGCTATGTCTTTGCCTGCCAAGCTTTTCCCTGTAAACAATGCCCCCAAAACCAGGAAACCTCATAAAGCTGCCAAGCTTGCATCTGCTGCTCTAGGAAATCTGTATACACCTGCTGGACATTTTGTTCAGCCCTTTAACCCAGAGGGTATCTCAGCTTCCAAGAACACAGACCCCTTTGAGCCACTGGCGACAACTCTTACCTTTGAGAATGATGGTAATACAGTCCAGATGCCAGGGAAGAAGCAGAAACAATTTCTGCGATGGGAGAATGAGGTTCTTCCTAGTCTCATGGAGCCATATATCAAACTTCTGCATGAAACGGACTCTTTGCGAAATATGGCACAAGTTCGTTCTCGAAGGCAATGCACCGGTTGTGCGTCAGGCAGACTGTTGAATGTAGCTTGCATTTTTTTCGAGCGTATGTTGTCTTATACATTTTGAGATGTCACTAATATAATTTGGGCAGGTATTGAGATGCTTTCTGTTTGCAATTGCACTTCCCCAGCACTTCAACTCCTTGAACTGGGGTTCTTTCCATGCGCACCAATTAATCCATCTCTTGCAGTTGACTTGAACATGCTCGAGTTTGTAAATGAGCTGTTTGTAAATGCAGCTCCCAATACTACTGCTTGGTGTGAAACATTGGAAGCTTTTCTTGGGAACAGAAGATACAAGTTGACAACTCGGGTATGTTTTTTTTTTGTCAAAGTTTCTCACTTTTTGAGAGTTTTTTTTTTTTTTTCTTTCATTTTAGAATAGTTTACGTCGCCGTTTTGGAAGTGCTATGCAGTGGTATGCAACTTTGATTGATAAGAAGAACCTTCTTGTCAACAATTATCTGGATGACATGAGAAGTTCAATCAAAGTTTCAGGTATTTCTTGCTTATGACAATGTTTCTTGGAACTAAAAACTTTTCAAACAGAAGGCTATGAGATTGAGCAAGGTATTTCTTTTTCTGGCTCAGTCAAGATATATTTCTGCTGCAACTCAAACATTTTTTCTCAGATGAAGAAGTGGACCAAGGTTTTTTCTTTAATCAGAAAGATCTGTGTAATTCTGACTTTTTTTGAAAAGATAAAAATGTTGGAATGGAACAAGGTTTCTGTTTTTGCTCTTGATATAAGAAATCTTTCTGCTGACAATAAAACTTTTTTGCAGATGAAAACATGGAAATGGCTGATGGTATTTATTTCTCTTTCAAGTGAAAAGTTCTCATGCCAATTCTTTTTTTGTGCAACACAGATAATATTGATGAAGGTTTTTTTTTTTCCTTTTTGGCTCAGAAAAAGGTTTATGTCTAACTTTTTTTTTTGTTTTTTTTTAGAAGATAATATTGAAATTGGTATGTGGTTTTTTGTCCAGTGAAAGGATTGTACTGGAGCAAATGTTTAGATGAGGATATGCATACTGCTGCACCAAACTTGGAAAGACCAAGTGATTATCTGAGAGGACGGTGTCCTTTGTGCTTTGGTGGGAAGGATTGGTCAAAGCCTGATGATTTGTATGTGGAGTTTTTTGGCAACACTATTATTATCAGGTTAACTTTTTTTATAAGGGTTGATTTCATTGTCTGCTTGGATGCTTGTTTCAAGCAGAAGTCACGCAAGGCTCAGGGTAAAGAGGCACCTGCGCCTCGGACACATCCAGATACAGCATTCGTTGCCTCAGAAGATGTCAAGGCCATGGAGGATGTAGTCAATGAAATTCGCCCAGAGCCAAAGTCCAAGTCAAAAGGTAAAAAGTCTGAAGATAGTCCTCTACAGCCTCAGAAGGATGAAAATCCTGACTTGTGTGAGCCTGGACTCAAAGTTCCAAACTCTGTGCTGAACATGTGTGGAGACTCTTTTAAAGCTGCAGATGAAAACGAGTAAAAGCTAGCAC